CACTTTTCTAACCAGAGACACAACAAATCGCAATGTCATTTGCACTTAATTTAAATGCAAAGCACAGACAATATCCCCAACTGATTCGCCATTCTTGGGAGATGAGTTAAGACCGTGGTGTCTTGAGCACTATCTCTTTCTCAAATTATTCCATGTCATGGGGTGGGCATGAGCTGCGAAGTCTCGGGGAAATTATGCGAGCAGCAACTGGTGAAGATTGTCACGAATTTGCCTAATGACAACAATTCAAGTCACATCGTCCTAAATTATATTCTTAGTTTTATACTAATTTCCACGGAAAATTTTTCACTTGACACAAATCTTCACAAGATTGTGAGACATAATTTATCTGCTGGTGACTTGAATTACGTGCACAAAAGAGCCCAGTCGCAAAAGGAGAGCAGCGCGGAGTGAATTTTCCATATAATCTTCAATATGTCATTTGTAGTAATTCTTATGCCAGCACAGAGAGGAGGGGAGTTATTTGCATTAAAATAAAGTGTCAAAAGCCATTCTGAATATTCGTCCTGTGCTCTCGTTTTGGCCATTCTATTTTAGCACTTCATAGATTTCACTTTATTGAGTCATATTCCGCCAGCATGCATTGCTTCGCCGCCACTTCTGTTGCATGGAATTCCATGGGAAAAGAAGAGGAGCATTTTGCCACCCTTATAGTGTCTCTGATGAGGCGTTAAACGGTGATGAAATGGTGAGTGGATTTTTGCATAATGACGTGATGACGCTGTTTGTGAATAAATATAAAATAAAACAGCGCGCGAAATCTTCATAAGCTGTCGAGTGTCATTGTCATTCCTTTTGATAATTTACATCAATCTGCAACCAGACGACATGGTCGTTGTCGTCTCGGGGGTGGCTTTTACTCTTCTCACGACGCCCCCCCCCGAAACTCGCCCCACAGATTTCGTGTTCGCTCCCCAAAACTATTCTCTCTGCTGGGGAGATAAATTTCATTCCTTGTTTTGTATCTCCGGAGGAGAAAATTTCTTAATTAAAGTTAAGCCTTTTGAATCCTGACGCATTTTCCACCATTGGGAATGCCAGGCGAGCGCTGGTGGGCAAAACGAGCGGAAATTCCTACGCTTCACCATGAAAATGAATGAGCATTCCTTTTAAATTGTGTATCAAATGCCGAGATTAGACAACAAATTAGCTCCTTCAACCTCTTTCCGTTCTTTTGGTCGCTCTTCTTCGCAGCTGTGCTGCATTTTCTATACACTTTCAGTCCTCAATTCCGTTCACACGCAGAGACAGCCAAGAAAAAAATGCCTTTAGTGGGAAATTCTAAATCAGAGACATTATTAATTTCAGATTTATGATCACTTCAGCACTCCTAATGAACCGTCTTAAGCTCTTCGTTGTGTTTCTTCGGTTTAATGTGTACTTTTGTCAGGAGAAACTCATTCGTCTGAACGTACATATCACTTGGTGTGTGTCTCTTTAAAGTTTCCTCATGTGCGCTAGGAAGGAAGGGGAGAAAATCTCTTTGTGGAATTGAAAGTGAGGAATAGACAGTGTTATTGAAACGAGTCGCGTTCGTCTAATAAAATCGCAAATGCATAAGTAATCATTGGAGCATATTCACGTATCCAATATGGGAGGAAACATGAACTTGTGAAATTCATACCGTGCTCTCGCCTTTTATGTGCCAGACTTTTGTCAAAAGGCGAAAGAAAAATGGTGGAAATTTTCGAGAATTCACAATATTTCTCAAGAGAACCTCCAACAGAGAGTCAAGTATTCTCCCGCACTTCGATGGCCTCCTCGACACTGTCGATGGCTTTTGTTGCCGAAAAGTTGCGCAAAATGATGAATATTTCGTGATTTTGTCAATTATCTGCGCTCGTGAAGCATGCGGAGTCTGTGGTCGGTGTACACAATTAAGGAAAAGTGATTAAAATTGAATTTCAGAGACTTGGTAATAAAAGCGTATGCTATAGGAGAATTTTGCTCCACTTGGCGTTTATTGTCCTCCGATATCGTGCTTAGAGTGTCTCACACCCACTTTCGGTGGCTTTTGTTGCATGGTTTCGATTTATACGATTCTGCGGTGGAAACATTACTTTCCTCCCGTTAATTTGTGAGATTTTAACATGAAAATATCGTAATTTGCCTTCTCGGTTTTCCACCTCTTCCTCCTCCACCGCCAAAGAGCACAAAAGTACGGTGAACGGATAATTTCTTCCACCTCAGACTCCCTCAACATCCCTCACGGATGGTGAATGGGAGAGCTCAGAGTGTATAAAGAAAGCTCATAAATAAATTTGGGGGTGGAAAGCTCTTGCTCGCCCCCCAAACAAGAAAGCTCACGCCGTCTGTGCTGAGCATAAGGCGTCCTCCTTGGCTCTCCTTCTGCGCCAACCAGTTTGGGAGCAAACGGTGGATATTGTGCAATTCCACTGGTGAACAACAATAATCTGAAATTCTGGCGACGACAGGTTTGTTTATTGGCTTGAAGGGTGTCGTTTTCCATTGTACTGTGGCTTTCTTCCCCCGCCCCCTCCACGGCAAAAGCAAGAGAAAGAAGTAAAAAAGAAAGAGTCACAAGTATTGAAATTGTCCAACCCATTGAGGTGTTTAAACGTTTCATCTTGCAATTGAAACCCACCCGCCCGGCGAAGGGTGAATTGAAAGAAATAATTGAGTGTGGAAGAAGAAATTCATTTGGCGCGAGAGATGTTCTCCTGAAAAATCCCCCGAAAAGACACCTCCGGAATGGCTGAGAATTGGGAATGAGGAGAGCAATATTAATTATTTTTTCCGCACACCATGTGCAACGGTGGGACTTTTCCTCTTTCACCCCATCGTGGTGCTCTTGCAGCAGTGAATTTTCTCCAAGTTCACCATGGTATCATATTTATGTGTCTGGGAACCGTCGAGCTGCTCACCATCTCATGCTCCACCTTTGCCAATTTTGCTGGGAACTCACTGAAGTGGAGTGTGTGGGGTCGGGAGGAGTTATAATGCAACAAGAAGAGCACTTTTGGCCGGGATAATTGCAGTGCTGGCATTTTGGTAGACTCCCAGAATGTGCAAATTTCTGTCAAATAAGCGGAAATGCTCACCAATTGAGCGGAAAAGTTAGTTTAATATTCCACCAAAGGATGAGAAAGAGGGAGAGAAGATTGCCATCTTTCTTCACTCCCTAATTCCAAACATCACCACTTATAAATTTGGGATTATCTCTGTTACGACTGACCATTTGTTTGTTCATCCTCTCTTCGAATTTCTCCTTTTATACACAAATTAATAGACTTTCAGCATATAAAATCTCTCATATAGTTTTTCCCAAATATGATAAAACTGGGAAGAATTATTTTCGTGTGCGACAATTTGAATTTTAACGACGACAGCCATGCTCATGGGTTAGTTTTATGCTCTGCAATATCTACGACACAACTTCTTGCTCCCTCAACAATAGAAAGTTTTCCATTAAGGTCGGGAAAATTACATTACACCCCAAGTGTGTTTACACCCTCGCCACTGGGCTCCACTACTCTCGCATGCGACTTTAGAATTCCTATTTAATTTTGATTTATTCTAATTCACTTTCAACCCTGCCTTGGCGAAACATGACAGAGGAAATTATTGAAATTTTCACCAGGGAATAGTCCATTTATAGCCGTGACAGTTCTGTTAGACGCAGCAATTTTCGTGTTTTGGGGGTGATCTAAAGGGTAGTCGCGGGGTGAATAGATTTATAGGGAGCTTAAGTCCTCTCTCTCTAACTGAATCTATAAAATATCTTGTAAAAAAACATAATGTGGGAAGTTCGTTCACGTTGCCAAAATGCCAGAGTCATGTACAGTTGTAGCATAAAAAATGACACTTTTGGAGTCGTTAACATGAGCTTTCCGAGAGGGACAGAGGACAAATCGCTAGATAAGAAATGAATGACCTCGCCTGATGACAAAAACCCGATCGAAATTTTATACGAGAAACTTTCTTCGCCTCTTCAGGCAACTTTTCACACAACTCATAAAACAATGTATTGCCAGTGTATCTCACCTCCCATCATCATTTATAACAGGAATGCTGGGTGCTTGGAATTTTTCGTATAGCTTCTCTTTCGCAGGAATGCGCTTAGGATGGGCAAGTTGAAGTTCACGAGCATTAGGAGTTCAGAGAGTCTCTGGGGAGTCAAGCTTGGCAGTCGGAGGCTGAGAATATTGCTCTGCAGACTGTCAGATTGGCTTCTGCGAGCTGCAAAATTCATAAGACTTCAGTCTAGAGTCTCTAAACACAGATTATGTATAAGCCTATCGATCTGATTGCTCGTCAATCAGACACTTTAATATCAAGTGCAGAGCAAGGATATTCAAATGCGTCGTGCAAATGCCATCCGAAGATGTGAAAGCAGTCGTTTTTCCAGTGTTCTAAGGAAAGGTTAATGAATAGAGCTTCAAATTTAAACTCGTCTGACACCCACAATGTTATTATGTCTTGTGAATGATTCAACTTGGCGTTGGTTTTATTTATATCCCTCAGAATTACTTGACCTTTAGCAAATAATACAATTTTTTCTTAATTAGTAACTTTTCTTATTTAAATCTGAAATGGTTTCGTGCATGAAAGCTCTCTACAGTACTTTGGCTGGGTGAAAAACGAGCGCTGCGGCAGAGTGCAAGTGGAGAGGAAAACTTATGGGAATATTCAGACGATAACCCTGCCCTTCTCACTCCGTCTTTTTCCATGCTTCGACAATTTGCCAAAGAGTTGATAGCAAATTGTGAGCAATAAAGTGCTTGACACAAACCCTTGAGTATTACTCAAAATGATATCTCGAAGATATTAAAGTCGTGTGCAAGAGATACTTATCTTTGGCACTGCGTTTGAGTCGAGAGAGTGCATCTTATGCAATTCAAATGGTTCGGCTTGAATCACTTGAAGCTCTCCGTGTTGGGTTTCAAGGTGACCAGAGAAGAGATTGAAGATCCACCAGCCGGTTTCTCACGAAGGTGTGTGCATTTGTGTCTTTGCAGATGGAGGACGAGGGGAACCATGGCAATGATGAGACGAGATTATTCATTTTGTCGTCACTGGCATCGCAGCAGAAGAGCCGCGTGGCGTGCATCCTGTGCGAGGAGCCCATGTACGTCTTCGATCGCTACCCTCTCGTCGACGGCACGTTCTTCCTCAGCCCGAAGCAGCACGCAAAGGGATGCATTGAGGTTAGTAATGGACTCTTGCCTTAACCTTAGTGCGGCTCTCATGGTGTGCAATTGCCGCTATTAGCCGCATGAATCACTGAGACAATTACGCCCAAATGCCACCCGCGCTCCCCGCCTTGTGCGCCACATCGCTGCGGTGCAGCGCTTAAGAAGATACACAATGTTGGAGTGTACAGTAATATAATTATTTTCACCTTTACCTCGGTGTCTGCCTGTCTGTCTGTCTTGCAGTCTGACGGTTGATTGTCTGGCTGGAACGGTGGTCTCCGCTGAGACTTTTGTGTGTCAGACACTGTCGTGTGGCTTCTGCTGCACATTGTCTTATGAAGAATGATGCTCACAGAGGCGTTTCGCCATATCTATTGAGAGTCGCGACGTGGATCAGATTTATGGGAATTGCATTCAGGCATTGTTGAACTTCCCATTGCCACTGCGATGATGTCTCTTCGAATTGAGCGGTTTAGACAAACGCAACGGCTGAGGATGCATCGGTAATTTCATGAGGCAAATTAGCACTTGTGTGACCACAAAATTTCATTCGACATGTGACCCACTTTTGGACACACAAACCACCCGACAGTTCCTCTCAATTTATGCATTTTCGTACCTCCGTTATATAAATTATTGTCTCGCGTGTGCACTTCTGGCTTAAAACGACTAAACGCCGCGCGGTTGTTGCCTCTTGCATTAATGATCTCTCCTTGTATTTCATCACCCAAAAGACAAGTTAAATTATCTACTGAAGAAACGCAACTGCTCGTGTTAATCGATGACTTCTGATAAATAATTAAGCAAAAACCCACACGAGGGAAATTCGACAATTGATAATTTATATTTCTCGAGAAAATTATCAAGAGCGTGATTTATCATAGCGTTAAGCACCTTCTTTCATTCTACCTCAATCGCTCATTGATTTCTTACTGGTTAATCGACTGGGGAATAATTCGTGGTGGAAATAATGTTATATGAATAAATTTTTAATGCGACCAAGTGATTCTCTTTGTTGTACTCTGTCTGTTGTACACTCGCGATGAGGCGAAAAGAAGACAATTCGAGGAGATAAAAGGGTAGAGAGACAGGCAATTGTGCTATCATGCACATGACCTTTCATATCACGTTAATACGATAAATTATCGTTTTGGTATTAAACGAAAGCCTTTATCTATAGTGTGATAGTAAATCTGAACGCAACAATTCAGTGGCCTTGAAAGGAGATCTGCTTAAATATGTGATTTACATGCTTAATCCCAAAATTGCAATTTCAGGTGAAATATGAAGGACGCACACAATATTTGACGTCAGTTTGCATGGGATGCCTCGAGGGCGTATCACCGGATCGAATAATCCGCTGCAGGTTTGTTCGCATCAGCACTAATCGCTTAATATCAGAATTTACAGCGTGGCTTTTTGCTCACTCTTGCAGATTCTGCGGACAGAAGTGGGATGGATCGTCCCTTGTCTTGGGCACAATGTATTCCTACGACATATTCGCTGCAATGCCATGCTGCACAGAGCGGTTGAAGGTATGCATCGCCCATTTATTCCTATAATGCTGAGTAAACGCGATCATTAGCATATTTATTTCATGTTACGCAACTCACCTTCTTGTCTGTCGCGAATCCTTGGCATATATTTTTTCCTCTCCCCAAAGAAGAGGTGAGACCAAGAGAAAGACACACAAACATTATGTATAGCGGAGCATAGTCGGACAGTTTCTCTTCCTTTCCTTTCCGCGGCGCAAAGTACACGGAGAGGGACCAAAAACACAGCAAAAAGTCCGCAAGTTTAATGAAGATAAGATGCTGTGTAATTGCAATGAAATATTATTGGGCTCTGTGTTGTATAATTCGCCATGAAGGCAAGAGAAAAGAAAGTCCATAAAGTCGAATAAAGTGCGGCAAAGTATAGGAAAATCGCAAGGCAAGAGTCATCCATCAAACCACCGTCAACCATGAATCATGGGAGCAATTGAGTTTGCCGAACGCTAAACACTCTCTCTGCATATCTCGCCATTCATGCCCAGGGAGCGAGAGCAACCCTTGCCATGCTGGGGATCTTATCCGGCCACATCCCACCCACACACGCCTCGCATGCCGTGGCATTTGGAGCCAAACACAGTGTCGACAAATCCCATGAATATTTTTACGAGGCCAGACAGATATTTATGTTTATAAAATATTTTTATTGCCATATTTTTGCAATATATTTCAAGGCGCACGAGAAAATCGCGCTTTTTCCAAACCAATTTTTGACTCCTCACCAAGTCCGTATTTCACAACATAATTTCCCATCCACTTTATTATCATGATTTACCCATGAATATTATTGAAGAATTATTGAGGGAAATTTATATGCCATAAATAACCATATTCTTGCCATTTTGACCACTCGATAGCTCGTTTCGGTGGATTAAATTTTTGGCGCGGACGCGCTTTTGCCTTACGTAAGACGAAGAAGAACACCCGTAGCTTCATCAATTCGATTTGTCCTCTAGCGTTGATGATTTTGAAAGCTTCCCCCACAAAACCCCCTTCTGTAGTGCTCAAGATGTGAATGCCGACGATCTCTTTGCAGTGTAACAATTGCTTCAAGTTGCTGCTGCACCCGAATCAGCGGCTGAACTTCTTCAGCGACTACAGCCACTTGGTCTCGTGCCCGTACTGCACCAGCCACGACACGCACTTCGTGAAGCCGCTGGCCTACTGCTACACCAAGCAGCCCCTGCAGGTCTTCCAGCAGTGGCCATAACATGAAGCCTCGCTGGAGTCTCCAACGCCGCCGCCGCCCCACAAGTCCGTGGCGTTGCCGCAAGTCAGAGGTACGACAAGCCAAGCATTTAACTCAAGCAATGACTCAATCGTGAGCTCTATCATGCAAGAGCTCAAGTCCATTAAGCTCGGCCACGCGTACATGGAGCCCGGCATCGTGCCGCTCTCCATGCTCAGTACCGGAGATTCCAGCAGTATTGCCAAGCAGCAGCCCAGCACGTGGGGCAAGCATGCTTTGTGGGGCATTCCGCCGACTAGTCCCTGCTCGACCGCCTCCGTGAGGACCTTCCACCCGAGCAGCAGCCATAGCACCAGCAGCAAGGAGTCCGTCTGGGCCTCCACGCAGTCCTCGCCCAGCAGCCAGCCGCCGAACACGAACCTGTGGGAGAGTCCCATGTCCAAGGCCACGCTCATGTCCTCGGGCTCGTCCTCCAGCAAGGACTCCTCCGTGAGCTCCATCTGGTTCACGCCGCCCCAGGTGCACAGTCCCACCGCCATGGCCACGTCCACGCCCAACGGCAAGGCGGACGTGTGGGAGGCGCCGGCGGGGCTGCTCAGGACGGGCCAGAAGGCCGCCGACAGCATTCCAAGGCTCGTGAGGCCCCAAGAAATTTCCGGCTCCAATGGTTGGATCAGTGATTTGTCGAAATCTTCGAAGGATTCCGTTAGCTCTCTCTGGGCCACACCGACGACTCCGCCGGCCTACACTGGCGCCCCATTCGCGCCCACGTCCGCCGGAAAGGCCGCGCTGCACGCCAAGCGCTTCACGCCACCCCAAATTGCCGGCAATGACAGCCAGAATGCGGCCAATTCCTGTCTGCAGCTCTTCTCCGATGAATTCCTCAACTATCTCAATATGATCAATTAATTTATAGTCTTCTAGAGCAATTTTCAATCACCCCTTTCCGCCATCCCAACCTCCAATTCACCCATCATATATTGTTGAATTTTTATTTTTAATTATATATTTCCCCCCCTTTAAACAATTTAGTTAGAGATATTCTAGATGTATGTGAGAGAAATTATTTTGCTTGTTTATTTTCATTGAATTTGGTTTCTTTATTGTTTTTTTTTAGTTCTTTTTTTGTACCAATAAATCCATCAAAGAGAAGTAACTCCTCGGCAAGTGTTGTTGCTTGTGTGAACGCGACGTAGAAGTGTGGTGTATATTCTCTTTAAATGTGTCGCTGAAGACATTATTATGTAGTGTAATCCCCAAAACAATGTAAGAGAAAATGTGGGACGTTGAGAGCGGATATCGTATCTGGAGGTAAGGGCATGTTTTATCCAAACCCATCCCCACGGCCATACGATTGTAGAGTCACTGATGACACGTCAGACCTCAGATGCAAAGAAAGAAGTGAAGTAATTTCTGCAGTGATACAGATTTTATACCGTAAGGACGATTATACAGAGAGGAACGATTTCTTAACAATATGATTGTATTGTAGGATAATTAGGATTTCCAGGTTTTTTACATTTAGAGATGTGCGCAAATGCGGAGGAGTAAAGTTTAGGAATAGAATTACTAAGAAAGAAGAGAAAAAAGTGGTGAGATCAGGTATATAAGCGATGTGGTTGTTAGCAAACCAAAACATCCAGTACATGTGTAAGAATTTTATGAATAATTACTAAATGTACATTTTTGCAAAAAAAAACATATTGTAGGCAACGAGAATTGGATTGAATGAGATTTGCGTGAAATGAGTTCAAAACTCGCTGTGACAAAATCATTCAATTGGTAAATGTTAAATTAGGTAAAGCCCAGAAGTTACTGGCATAGGACTTACTCTATCTAAGGACTTCGTTTACAACTTGTAACTAAAAGTATGCTTAAGTTACACAATTCATTACTTCATGTGGTTATTTTTTTGTGTTTTGTTTTCTCTATTTTTTCACACACACACACTCTAGGAACTCCATTCGAGCCAGCTCGAATGTGAAATTATGAAAGTAAATAAAAAATTAAAGAAGAAAATGCCAAAAACAATTTTATAAAATTGAAAAAAAATATATTGGAGTAAACTCAGTCATAAGTATATAAAAATTTCTAGTTTTGATATCTAGCAATTAAGTGGATTGGAGCTAAAAAATCATGTGAAGTGACCAGTTTTCAAGCATAAAGTGATATTATATCGTCTCTAAATTGATCGGGAAAAAGGAAAAAAAAAATGGTTGGGAAGCAAGTGCAGAAGGTCTTGACAAAGAGAAGAGAAAAGTAATCGCTTCTACACGTTTTAGGAAACCAAAAAATTAAAAACCATAATAATCCAACGTAGAGAAAGAGAATTATATATGTCGCCTATTGAAAAATTTACTAATTATTCAAGAGATTCGGATAGACTTTGAGCGTATACCTTTTTCAAGTGAAACATTAAGATGAAAACATAGTATTTAAGTCAGTAGTGATTAAGGAGAGAACTCTTCATCCTAGAAATAAGGACTAAACACTAAATCTTGTTTTTAGTTTGTTTGTTTCTCGAACATTTTGATAACGAACATCGTGGAATCAACGCGCGAAGAGCAGCCCTTGAATAAAATTGCCGAAGTTGAACAGAGAACGTTCTATAAAATCCGAGCAATAAGAGCAAAATTCTAAATTTCTTATCATTCACTGTAAATCAGGATATTTTGATAATCCCCTTATAAACCACTCGAGGCGAGAAATGTGTGAATGGTCTGCATGATATGATTGCTTGAATGTGATTTATTAATTCATCGGTGTAAAGACAAAGAGCTGGAGAGCAGCAATGAAGGCGAAAAGGAAGCGAAACAACTTAAGAATATTTGCAAAAATCTTAGAAAGAGAGAAAAAGAGCAAAACTAGTTTAATTGTGCGTGAGATGGACAGTAAGACATACAAACCATATAACACCATTTATATTAATCTTTAGTGTTTAAATACATTGATTAAGTCGTGTCGTTTCACTTGTAATGCAGAATAATTTAATTAATACAAAATTTAGTTCTATGTTTGACCATTTTAAGGATGTAATGAAACGCTGAACCAACACGTTGAGCTGTTTTTATCAGTTTTTCATTTTTACAATGTTAGTAACAAAATATTATGTGATTCTACCTAATCAATAAATGAATTTTGCAATTACTGATTGTACCTCACCAGCGACACTCTTCGTCCAAAACTCAATTCAATCCCCATCATTGACTTGGGCAGAATTGTGGCAGAATGAACACTGCGTTTGGCGATTGAGTTGAGTTGTTGAAAGAATTGTGTCACAAATTTGGATTTTAAAATGGGAAGAATATGTGCGTGAGTTAAATAGGGTGACATTTGAAGTAAAGATAATTTATTGCAATGGAATATGGGAGAAAGTAAATAAAATTTATTCAATATTATTACTGTAATAACACTAAATGTAGAATTCGCCCAGAATATTTGCGAGGAAGGAGAGAAATTTGTAATTCTTATTTGTAATATCAAAGAATTGTGGCACCATAGAATAGATTGTGAGATCACAAGTCAAGTCTCCTAAATAATTATACTATTTTAGTTGGTCATTTTCGCCCCATCAACTGGATAAATGAGCAAAGCTATCGCCACAACTATGATTTTTTGCATAGGAAAAGTGTGTAAAAGACAAAATGACAAGGATGGTGAACTGCGCACGGAGATGGAAAGGCAATGAAGATCGCAAAATTCCGTGCGCCGCGTTTGGGGCAACCTTCTCAGATCATCTGATGAAAACACGTACAAATGGGGACTTGCAAATGTGCTCTCACGCCTATTCCCATGGTCTTCCTCTATATTATTGCTTAAATGATGAATACAAATGATAAAGAAGTTTTACTCATCCCTTATGTGGTCGTCAAGCTGTAAAATGTGAGAATAGTGAGAGATTTTGAGATATTTATCATATGAATAATACCTAATCCAATCATCAATATGTCTTCTTTTGCAAATGCACTGTTATGCAAGAGTGTTCGCAAGGCCCATAATAACAACTTTAAAAAAAAATGTGTGCAATTTTCAAAAGTATCCAGTCCCAGTTAAGCTGCGACTCGATAGTTACGATATCAGATTTTATGTCTTCTTTTTTGCTGTGATTTTTTTTTCCTAACACATCCCAAGATGATGGATTTACGTGAATGGGATTTAGTCGCTTTCCGATGCGCCACATTGTATGACAAACAATTAATAAATATGATACAAATTAGAAGCTCGCATTGGCGATCAATGAGAATGTTTGCGTACACTTTTGCATAACTTTTTCGTGTATTTTTACTAAGTAATTAGTCCCCTAATTTCTGTCAATCTGCGCGCTTTGTGCGCGCACACAAACGCACTTCTCCAGTAATTCTGTAGTGTGTAAACCAACCAACCCGTCATCAAACTACAATAACAATTATATGAGACGTGAAAACTATCGTGAAAGTACATTTATGGAGGTAAAAGAAAAAATAATAGCTGAACGAGACAGTTTTATACAATGTACAAAACTTGATTTGAGTTATTTTCGATTGATACCGATAATGATGCGATTGATCGTAAATAATTCCAACCGGGTCCATCGCCTTTCAACCACACTTGAAAACGATGTACAAAAGAGAGTCTTTTTTACATACAAAACCATGGACAAAACAAAAAAAACACTTACCACGAGACTTGCAATGTGGAAAATCCCATCCAATATTCTCAGTGAGCAAAAGCTTTCGGTTGACATCCACTGAAGGAGGATCTGTGAGTCAGGAGGACCCGAAGCGTCAGACACCCAGCGATTATAATGCTATTAGATAAGATGTGCAAGACATTTTTTGAGTGACTTTAGTCTTTTCACCTGCAAAATTTGATTGGAAACAAAACACACAAATTTGTGGTAATGCCAATATTTAATTATAGTGCATGTGTGAGAGTATGCAAAAAATACTGCCAAACTTATTATACCTCAAAGTAATTAATAAAGAAAATTAAATGAAAACTAGCCCAGTTGTATCATATCACGATAGTTTCAAATTTACTAGATGAAATTGCTAAAGTCATTGTGTATTCCCTTGTCATTCTGGTACAGAAAACAAACAAAAATATGTGTGAAAAACCGACACTTTTCGCAAAATATTAAGGAAAAAAAATATACGAATATTCTATTGTCTGTGTAAATCTACTATGATAATGGTAAATTTAATGTGCAATTGATTTCTTTTTTGCTTTTTCTACCGCCAAATACCTCAAAATAATAAATTATAGTAATAGAATTTTGAAAACTAATAAAAAATTTATCAAAGAAAATGCTGCCATTTTCACATAGTAGGAAAAGAAAGAAACAACAAAACATAGTAATGCAACATATTTCAGAGTGTTTAGGAAAAAAAATATGAAATTTCTTAAAGATTGATAGCAAAACGTGGTGAAAACAACAAATTCGAAGCAATAGACTGGTCTTCTACAGAAATCTTTACGATATTGTTAGACAAAACTGCAAAATGACTGCAAGCAAAGCGTAAAGGGAGTGTTTAAGAAGAATTAATAAATGAATGATATAATAAATTAA